AGTAGTGATTCTACAACATCTTACTACGCTGATGGACAGTGACTGTAATGGGGTTGTGGGGGGGACTTGGGGTAGGGGAGAGCCTAGTAAATATAATGTTCTTCATGTAATTGTAGATTAATGATAACAAACAAAAAAAATAGTTTGAGAGAGCCCAGAAAGGAGGCTGACTAGATTTGATGTTGGTTATGGGTGGGGCCAAGGCAAGAGTTCCTGTATATGGTTTGAACTTCCCACTGGTATCCAAGGAGGGAAGACCTCGGTTTTCTTATGAGCTTGACCAGATGTGGGGCAGAGGGGAAGAAAAGAGAGTGAGGCTTAAAAAATCTGTCAGCAGTCACATAGCAAAATTTGGAGTCAGTCTCTTTATTACTTGATAACTCAATACAACTAATTAAGAAAGCACAAAATACAAAGACATTGAGTAATATGTTTATATAATTTCATCAAATTTAAAGTACCTCTGTTTAAGTTATATTAGTAATTGATAAGAAAATAGTACATATAAAAAAGGCAAATATTTTTGTTGAAGACAGAAAACAAAATTGTAAATGTTCTTCAAAAATATTTATAAGCAAAAAATATATTATTAGTATCATCACTTATATAACAACCCAATTTTCAGAAATTTACTCTAGCTTTTCAAAATTTCCTTCGATTAAAGGTACTAGAATAAAATTATTATTTTACTATTTGTTGTATTAGGAGAAAATAACATTTTATTTACTATCAATAACATAAATTATTTGAGATTACTATTGGAGTACCACTCTTTATACTGCAACAGGGAATCATAGTAAAACAGTAATTTGTTTATAGCTAAATTACCAAGTACAGCTCAGCACTAACTCTTTACAGTTATTGCTAAAAGTCTGATGGCCTGAAGGAGTTCTTATTCTTATCAAAGCAACTAAAATACTACCAGAATTAAATGAAGTTCTGGGGAGAAGCAGGCTTAGCATTTACAATAAAGATTAATGGTAACAGCATCAAATTCTGTTAAGACTAATAAAAGTTCTGCCTGAATTTGGCTTGGAAAATCAAAAACAAGACAAATGATAGCTAATGATGTAAATAAAAACAAAATTCGATGACATAGGCTTAATTTCATTCCATATTTAAACAAATATAATCAAATAATATAACTATGGTAACCCATTATTGCTTTAATCAACAAAAGAAAGTAGTCTTCTTATTTTAAATAATGTAAATTTATGCCCTAGATAATTACAGACTAGTAAAGCAATTCAAGAAACTAGTTCAAAAAAAAGTAAATTGTGTTGTATTTCGTGAGGAAGATGAAAAACCTTTTGCAGAAAAAGGTGCGGAGTTTTGCTCCTGTTCAAATGAAAATGGAAAGCTAAAATCATCTTTCCCAGCTTCAAATGTATGAGCTGAAGAGTCAGATGGAAAAGAAAATGTAAAGGCATCTTCTCCTTCTGGTTTCCCAAATAAGTTTCCTGAGGAAGATAAATATTATAATATCATGTTATTCATGTTACATAATTTGCATAACCTATTAAATTACAGTACACTGCACAGAATAAATAGGGTAACATTGAATCACTTATCTATTAAGCAGATGCTGAACTGTATATTCCTCTTACCTACAAGCATTGTTCTTTGTATTATGGAAGGTTAAACAGATTCAAAACTTAAACCTAAGTTAAAAAGAACTAGTATATAAGGTAGAAAGAGGGTTAAAACATCTCAAAAGGACATAACACAGCGGCACAGAAACAGGTATGCACAGGAAGTGTAAGGGTAACAGAAATTAATTCAGGTTATTAGGAGCACTGAGAAATAATTCAGTTATTAAAAGGGAATTAAAGAAGATGGGCTTGAAAAGGTTGTTGAATGTCCAACTATAAAATCTGAACTTTATTTGGTAGGTAAGAGGAAGCCACTATAAGTTTTCAAGCAGAGATATGACAGGATATGGACTGGTTTATATTCTTTTATGTATACTTAAATATATATATTCTATTCCATATTCTTTTATAGAGTTCTATATATTTATATATCCTGAATATATAGTCTTTTATATTCCCTGAAGAGAATGTGTACAAAGGCTGAAACAGAAGAGTGTCTAGAAGTGGGGATAACAGGAAAGAGATGATCGAAGCTTGGCCTTACCTAAAATCATAGTGAAAGGAATAGAGAAAGAAATGCTGGATCTGAGAGAAACTGCCTAAGTCAAACTTACTCTACTATTATGTATTAAGGACTGCAATATACTGTTCATGGCATTGTTCAAGGAAATTGACAGAAGATTGAAAAGGGTTCTTTCTATAGTTTTAAAAAGGATTTATGAAATCACGTTTTCATAAAAAATTATTTGGTTGATGACTCCCAGAACTGCATTTACAGAAAAATACTGTTTTTCATTCATTATATTATTTAAAACAATAAATATAAATATATATTTTCAACATCTTAACAATAATTTTAAATAAACAACTTAAAATGTACAGTAATCCAAAGACTTACTTGAAATAAATCTTTTAAAGCAACTATGTTTTCTCCATAGAAAGCCAATTCAATTTGTACATACACAATTTACTTTGTTCCACTTTAAAATTTCATATACTTTAAAATATCTCAGTAATTTTACCCTAAATAAATATTACCCTAAGCCAACCAGCTGTAGGCTGGGTGGGTAGGTGGATGTATGAACAGATGAATGAACTGATTGATTACCAGATACCTGAGTTCTTCCTCTCCCTCATTTTATTTTTCCATTGATTTCAGAACATATCCATAAGACTTAAACAAAGAAAAATAGCTATCATATAGCTATAGATCCAGAAAGAACTAAAATCTTGAATCTCCCTTTGAATAAATGTTTTTTTAATTTCAGAAAAAAGTTCATATGAAATCTTCATAAAACTCCCATAAACAAAATAATAGACTACTGTGCAAAGCTGTAGTCTAGGTGCTATGGAGAATTCAAAGGAGATAAAACAGAGTCCCTGTCCTTAAAGAACCTGTGATTAGTAGAGATTTTATATATACTCAAAAAGAATGATAAATGTCAGAATGTAAAAAAGTTTTTTAAAAAGACATTCAGAAAAGCTAGGGAGAGATCTTCTTGGAATGGAAAGTTTAAGGGGTAAATAATAGGTTTTATGGAAGAGAAACTGGTTTTGAAAAGATGGTTAGGAAGAGATGGAAGTTGAGGATTTCAGAAAGAAAAAAGTGAGTAAGAGAATATGGACATATATGGGATTTAATGAGTTATTCAGTCTGGCCAAAGCATAGATTATTCTTTAAGAGAAATGGCTTAAAATGTATGTTGGTGCTAGATTAGAAAAGCAGGAGCATAATTTGATATTCCATGGGAAGCACTGAAGTTAATTATTAGGGCAGTGAGATGGCCAACATTGTGCATAAGAAAGATTAACTGGGCTGTGATCTATAGGCAAGCTGAAGGATGAAAAGAACAGTTATGATGTTTACTGCAATAGTCCAAGTGAATGGTAATAAAGCTTGAATATAAATATGTCAATGAAAATAGAAAATAAAAGGAGATAACCATTTCAGAGAAAACTGATTAAAGTTGATGATTGGTTGAATGTATTGACAGGCACAGAGAGAAAGTAAAATTATCACTGATGTTCTGAGTCTTGGCAACTACAATAACTGAGATAACATTAGGTCCATCAGAAAGAGAACAAGTTAGATTTGGACATACTGAGTTTTTAATGGCAACAGATGTCTTAGATTAAGATATATGAATTGGACAATTAGAAACAAGGTCCTACCAGATGGCTTCACTGGTGAATTTTAGCAAACATGTATAGAAGAATTAATGCTTTGAGATTTCAGGAAGAAAAAAGTGAGTATGAGACTATGGGCATATATGGGATTTAATGAGTTCTTCAGTCTGGCCAAAGCACAGATTATTCTTATAAGGGAAAAGGCTTAAAAGGTATGTTGGTGCTAGGACGTTGGATAGGGACATGGGAGAGAAGGGTGTTTCAATTTTAATTTATTTAGTTCTAGTCAAACAAAGTGCATTCAGCAATTGTTGCACATAAGGCATCTCAAGTGTGGATAATGTATTATAAAATGTCATCCCTGACTTCAGATCTCAGAGAGAGAAGCTGACAATTTAGCCAGTCATTCTCCTTACTCCCTATCAACATTATTTTACTTTTTAATTTTTTTGTTAATGGTATATTCCCAGATCATCAACCTTGAACCTTTGGAATCGTTTACAACTCACCCTTTCTCTTAGTGGCTCGCATTTATATTACTTATCAACTTAGGCACTTGGCAAGTCCTACCAATCCTTACCTCCATTTCTGCATTTCTGTGCTCAAATAACCAAAGAGAACACTCCAAAACTCATTTTACAAGGCAATTATCCATTCCCTTGATACCAAAGCCAGAAAAGGACACTACCAGAAAAGAAAACTACAAACCAGTATCTCTAATAAATATAGTTGCAACAATTCTCAATAAAGCACTAACAAACTATGATCAAGTGAGATTTATAGCTGAGATGCAAAGATGGTTAAATATATGCAAACCAATCGATGTGATACACCACATTAATAGAATGAAAGAAAGGAATTGTATGATCTCAATAGATGTAGAAAAAGCATTCAATGAAATTTAACATCCATTCATGATAAAAACTCTTAACAAATTAGGCATAGAAGGAACATATCTCAACATAACAAAGGCAATATATGACAAGCCCAAAGCTAGCATCATATTCAGTGTTGAAAGGATGAAAGCTTTTTCTCTAAGATCAAAACAAGAAAGGGTACCTACTCTCTCCACTCCTATTCAACACCATACTGAAAGTCCTTGTAAGAGCAAAAAAAAGAGAAATAAATGACACCAAAATTTGAAAGGAAGAAATAAAACTATTTTTTTGCAGAGGACATGATTTAATATATAGAAAATCCTAAAGACTCCACCAAAAAACTGTTCAATCTAATCAACAAATTCAGTAAAGTTGCAAGATACACAATTAACACACAAAAATAAGCATTTCTATACATTAGCAACAAATTACCTTTGAAAAAGAAATTTTAAAAATGATCTTATTTACAGTAACCCCCAAAACAATAAAATACTTAGGAAAAAATTAACTGAGATAAAAGATCTCTACTCTGAAAACTGTAAAACATTGATGGAAGAAATCAAGACACAAAGGTTCATGGATTGGAAGAATTAACATATTGGATTGGAAGTATTAAAATATCAATATTACCAAAAGTCATCTACAGATTCAATGTAATCCCTATCAAGATTCCAATGGCATTTTTTAAGAAGTAGAAAAAACACTCTTAAAATTTATATGGAACCACAAAAAATCCCCAAAAGCCAAAGCAATCCTGAAAAAGAACAAAGTAGAAGGCATCACACTTCATTTCAAGCTATACTATAAAACTATAGTAACCAAAACAGTATGATATTGGCATAAAAACAGGCACACAGATCAACAGAACAGAATCAAGAGCCCAGAAATAAATCCAAGCATACAGCCAAGCAGTATTTGATAAGGGAGCCAAAAATATTCAATGGAGAAAAGAGAGCCTCTTTAATAGATCATGCTGGAAAAATTGGATATTCACATGTAAAAGAATGAAACTGGGCTCCTGTATCTCACACAACTTATAAAAATTAACTCAAAATGGATTAAAAACTTAAATTTCAGATCTGAAGTCATAAAATTCCTGGAATAAAACACAATAACAAAGTTCCTTGACATGGGTCTTGGCAACCATTTTTTGGATATGACAACTAAAGCACAACCAGCAAAATAAAAAATAAACAAATGGAACTACATCAAACTAAAAAGCTTTCATACAACAAAAGAAACAGTGAGTAAAGTGAAAAGACAACCTATGGAATGGAAAAAATTATTTGCAAACCATGTGTTGGATAAGGGATTGATATTCAAAATACACAAAGGACTCATACAACTCTATAGCAAATAATAATAATAATAATCCAATTTTTAAACGGGACAAACAGTCCAAATAGAAACTTTTCCAAAGAACATATACATATGACCAACAGCTACATGAAGATGCTCAACATCACTAGTACTTAGTGACATGCAAAAACCACAGTGAGATATCACTTTACACCTGTTAGAATGGCCATCATCAAAAAGACAAGAGATAACAAATGCAGGTGAGGATGTGCAGAAAAGGGAACCTTTCTGCACTGTTAGTGGGATTGTCAGGGGTACAGTCACTATGAAAAATAGTATTAATTATTAATTAATTAACAATGGAACTACATATGATCTGGCGATTACACTTCTTAGAATATATCCAAAGGAAATGAAAACACTAACTTGAAAAAGTGTTTGCACTACCATGTCCATAGCAGCATTATTTACAGCAGCCAAGACATAGAAACAACCTAAATGTTCAACAATGGATGGGTGAATAAAGAAGTTGTGGTATATATACAATGGAATATTATTCAGTCATGAAAAAATAAACAAACAAGGAAATCCCGGCATTTGTGACAACATGAAGGACTTGAAGACATTATGCTAAGTAAAGTAAGTCAGAGAAAGAGAAATACTTATATCATCTCACTTATATATGGAATCTAAAAGATCAGATTTGTGGTTAGCCAGGGGCAAGGGGAACTGAAGGAAGGTAGTCAAACAGTATAAACATCCAGTTAGAAGATAAATAAGTACTAGGGATGTAATGAATAACATGATGACTATAATTAATATTGTGTATCGTATATAGGAAGGTTGTTAAAAGAGTAAATCCAAAGAAAAAATGTTTTCTTTTTTGCTTTTCCTTTTTATTGAATCTAAATGAGATGGATTCTAATTAAACTTACTGCAGTAATTATTTCACAATATATGGAAGTCAAGCCATTATGTTGTACACCTTAAATTTATACAGTGATGTATGTAAACAATATCTCAAATAAAATGGGGAAAATACTAAAAAAAAAAAGGTTCTAGAATTAAGAAGTCAGGGATGGAAAAACACAAATTTTGTTTTCACCAAAATATTATAATATTTGAAAGTGCTGAAGTGAATGAGTGTCTAATGAATGAGTGTCAAAAGAAAGAATGTAAATAGATTTAATATTTTAGACGGTAGGCATTTAATGAATGTCTACAATTGGTAGTTTCATTCTGGTCTATGGCATTAAACATTATTTATGACAATTCTTATATATATGTCTCTATTCCACCGAATTCCAAATTCATATATACAATTTCCTACTTTACTTTCACTTAGATATCTATTAGAGGCTTTTCAATAACACTTCCAGCAGCTCCTATCAATAAATGGCAATTCCATTCTTACATTCAGTCAGTCATGTCAAAATCTTGACATCCTTATTTCTTTCTCTTTCTCTTCAACTCTAGTCCATAAGCAAATCCTTACAACCCTACCTTCAGAAAACTTAATGACCAAAATCTGACCTCTTCTTACCACTGCCACCATTCTTGCCATCGTCCTTACCTGTGTTATTTTAATAGCTTCCTAATCAATCTCTCTGATCTCACCCTTGTTTCCATACAGACTGCTGGAATATAGCAGCCATGTAATTCTTTTAAAATCTGTCATATTACTTCATTCCTTTGCTCAAAACTCTTCAATAGCTTCCCATCTCAGAAGAAAACCAAAACAACAACAACAACAAAAAAAACCCCAAGATCATTTATGATCTAAGGGCCCCATATGGTTTGCTCTCCTTCCAACCTCTCTGATTTAATTTTCTACCAGCTTCACCTTCCTTATATGATTTCAATCATACCAATTTACCTGCTGTTCAAGAACATGCTGAGCATGCTCCCATTTCAAGGCCTTTGTACCCTCTGCCTAGACCAATCAGCCCAGTAGCTCATACACATACCTCCTTCAGGTCTCTGCTCAACTGCTACCTTTTAGTGATGCCTTCCCTAGCAACACAGCAACACCTTCCCAGTCCAAGTTCTCCCAATTCCCCTTACTCTGCCTTACCTTTCTTCATACTTATCACTTCCAGTGAATAAAGAATTAACACACCTCCAAGGATGACTTTGGAGTCTGACTTCTTACAGCATTGTTTTCTTAGAAAATACAGAATTAAGGCAAATGTAGAATGTTGCATCTGCCTAGCTTATTTTATGGGGCTGCAATGGACTTAGATGAGCTGTGAGTTGGTATATAGCCCTTGGGCCTCATGATTATAATAGTATTAACAGACACGGGAAACTAAGGCTGCAGCTTTTGTGTGTCAAAGTGACCTACACACACCATGCCTTTTGTACATAGCAGCCTTAGATGTCCCATGTGGATGAGGTGGCTAAAAAAGCTTATTTTTTGAGTAGCTGGTGGGCCTCTCAATGAGTTAATAATACTATACATGCTGTTATATCCTTTCCTGTGTCTTTCTATAAAGCTAAGTGAATCTAATATTAGATTAAAAATTGTAACCTTTGAGTCTGAATGCCAGTTCAAACCCATATCAACTGCTGTTATGCACTATCTGACATACAACCATTTGTCTTTTTTGTCTCACTAGAACATAAAGCCTATGAGAACTCTGCATTTTTGTCCACTATTGTATCACCAGAGCCAAAGTGGTACCTGATATAAAATATAATAATGTACACACATACATACTATGTTGAATGAATGAATAATTCGAGGGATAAAAGAAGAAAAAGGATCCAATAAAAAGTAAGCACCAGAGAGATAGGAGGAAATCCAAAAACTCCAGAAAGAAAATGGGAAGAGTCAACTATATCAAAGAGACTGAATATGACAACAAATACAAAATACTCATAATGTTTGATAATTGGTTAAGTCATTAGTAATATTGGAGAAGGCAAGTTGTGGTAGAGTAGTGAGAGAAGCTGAAATACTAAAAATTAATAATAATTAGTGAGTGATGCAGAGGTAACAGTGATTTTTAAAGAATAAATTGAGTGCCTAAGAAAATCAGTTAAACTAAATACAAATGGGGAAAGTTAATATGTATTTTTATATGCAGCAAACTTCAAATCACTTACCAATTTCCTGTTGTGAGGACACAGGATTTAAATTTCTTGCAGAATAATGTTCATTAAACTGAAAAATAATTTCCACTAAATATTACTTATGAAATTAGTAGAACAATTTATATAGCATTTATAGTTGAATATAAAACCTAGTTCTAATAAGCATAATTAGATAAAATGACAACATTCTATATAGTACACTATTGTACTTAAAAGGAAATGTATCTTTAAAACCTACCATTTATTTATATTAAAATAAGGCTTATTGATTTGATTTTGGAAATAGATAAAATATTAATAACCAACATGTATTGTACTAAGGATAGTTTCTACTTTGGAATATTAATGTACCCTATAATTCTAATTAACTTTTGCTTTATTCTGAAGACTTTGTACAAATCAGGTCTTGGTATTGTTTTCCTATCTATAAAAGAAGCAGAGAGTATGACAGTTTCATGTCAGTTCAGATCAGTTTTGCTGCCACAAGAGTTTACTTTCTCTGTAAGACAGACTTAAAAAATGGAATTATGACATAATTTTCTGTCCTCTTTTTTTCTCTTAATATTGCATTATGAGTATTTCTTCATGTCACTATTTTTCCAAAGCCTGATTCTATTTATGATATTTTAGTATTCTTCCATATGGACATATACAGTTTCAATCATATTCTGGACATTAGGTTGTTTCTATCTCTTTTTCTAATATAAATCTCACTCGGATAAATACTGTTATGCACAAATTCACATTTATTTGACAATTAATAAGGAAAGTTGTTTTTCCCAGAGGTTTTATAAGTTGATTGAATTTCTTTTTTAGTGAATTATCTATTTACTAACTGGACTTTGTAAAATTTTATATCTAGCAATAATTTTATTCCTAGCAATAATCTTTGTCTTAAAGACTATTCAAAATGATGTTAGTTTAGCCACTGTGACCCTATGCTTAGAGTTTTCATGATATATTATTAGACACATGAACTAAAAAGCTGAATTTATTTTTAAACTGCTTATAACTATAATTTATTTCATCCATTCTTGAGATTCTTTTTTTATAAATAGATGTCAGTTAGGGGTTCCTGAGGTTGAAAACAGAAAGATAATGGGGAAGCATTGCTAAACTATCAATACTCAGAATCTTTTTAAAAAATTGCCTCTGCTTTGCACTCTGCCCAAGGCAGTTTGGTACCAAAAATTTTTAATTATTTGAGGTTCCAGTCTACAAATTTTTAGAAATAAAGCTTGAGTCTCTTATATTACCTGATCTGATGAGGTTTCTGTATCAAATACAGAAGAATCAAATAAATTCAATCCAGGTGATCTAGAAGCATAACTCATGACAAAAGACAACGCAGGGGATTCCTTTTGTGTTTGGCCTTCAGGCATTATATTTCTATTTCTGTTACAGAGAAATAAGAAATCATAAAAAAACATTAAAAATATATTAGTTTATTTTGCAGACTGGTAAGCACCATAAGCAATGGCATAAAGGTAAAAGCAGAGTAAGGAAAGGGAGAAACTATTATTGAAGTGACAAACCTACAAATATATAGAGAAAAAGATGGCTTTGGTTGGAGAATAATGTTAAATAAAGTAAAATAATCAATTATGGAATAATAATAATGAATTACTACTGAGAATATTCTATCAGGCTCCATTCTAGGTATTCCCATCATTACTAATTTACTTATTCCTCAAATAACCCTATGAAATAGGTACTATTATTATCACTACCACTTTCCAGAAGAGGATTTTAAAGCAGAGAGGTTAAATGATTTGCTAAAAAAAAAATGTGTCAGAGTTAGGATTTGAATGTAATCAACTCAAAGTCTAAGTTCTTAACCCTGGTGTTATACTGTCTCAAATATCTTGAAAGCCAAGCATAAGAATGTGATTAATGAGAAGCCAGCCACTACAGATTGTGGCATAAGATAGTTAAACTATAAATGATGTGAGAAAAACAATTAGAAACAGTACATAACAGTGCTTAAAAGTATGGATTCTGAAGGCAGAACTACTTGTTTGAAACTCAGCTCTATCACTGATGAGTTGTATTACCTGTGATTCTGCTTCCACATCTATAAAATAAGGATAATGTACTTGAATCTCATTAAGTTGTTGTAAATACTAAATAAGCGATGTTTATAAAATGCTTAGTCATCGTTCATGCTATTAAATGTTTGTTAAACATAATAGAAATATGAAGATACTTCCATATCTATCTTCATGACTATTAATGAGTCACTTAACTTTACAGATCAGTATTCTCATCTGTAGAGGTTTTAGCATATGATCACCTTATCCTTTTACAGTTCTCAGATTTGATGATGAGTTCCATTTTAACATGCTGTGTTTGAGTCAACACCATGACATTTGTATGTAATACTCTTACTAGCAATTTAAAATACAGAAGTAGAGCACAGGTGAAAGATTCCCTATGAAGTGAAATGTGTTTTAAATTATGTTTTACAGGGATCTCAGGGTTCAGTGTTAAGGAAGAGATTGAACTAAGCAAAAAGGTTAAATGCAGCACAATTTTATTAGCTGCAAAGTACAAACCTGTGGTTTCCGAAGCTACGTAATCATGTTAGAGCTATTTGTGCCTACCAAGGGTACTTAACAGAATGACCAATTCTTGCTTTAGACACTATAGCATAAGGAAAAATGACTGCTGGGACATTGTTCAATGATGTCCAATACCACACATGATAGCTTTTTGGCTTGACATTTAAAAATTTTCCACATATTTTTTATCTTTTGGAAAATCATAAATTCTGTATACTATAGCATTGGATAATTATTCAAGATCTATGCCATCTTCAGCTAAATGTTGCAGGAAAAATGGGGAAGAAGATCTATGAAACCAGAATGGCAAAATGTTAATAATTGTTCAAAGGCATGATAGGTACATAGAGGTTTATTGTACTCTCTCCTTTGTATATTTGAAATATTCTATAATAAAAGCTTTTTAAAGTTACAGGTACTATGCATTTTCCTTTTCTTATCAATTATTTAGATAACTCAATATATAGATTATTTATAATTATTAATTAAAATCTTACATTTCAAATGAGGGAGTTTTAGGGAACACTAATTTCTCCAAAGATTCAGGTGTTTTCACAGCTTCAGGAGTTCTTAAAAATAAAGGAACTTCAGGAGTTTGTGGAAAATTCTCAGCTCGCTCTTCTACTTCCTTATTATTATCTATTGGCTTCCCCAATTGTTCTGCATATACAACCTGCAAATTCAAAGTAACAGAAAATTATAGAAATGAATGTTATTGCATTAATAAACTCACATATGTAAAAATGTTTGAGGTGGAAAAAACCATATCAATCTATGATGTTATCATTATATAGACAAAATAAGTAGAATAAGAATAATTGGACTTCCAGATTCTGGGAAAAATATGGCAGTTTAAGAAGGCAAGGCTTAAGCGTCCTCCCAAAATCACATTGAATACAAAAATACAGCAAATACAACTAAAAATGACAATGACCTGAAGACTATAGAGCTGACTACCTACAACTGGGGAAGTAGAGAAGACCTCACAGAAAAGGGTAAAGTGTCAAAGCCACAATCTGGTGGGACCCAAGCCCTCCCCACAGCCCAGCCACAGGTGGAAGGAAGAGGAACAGAGTGGGGAGGGAGTAGGAGCCCAGTACTTCTGGACACCTGGCCCTGGAGATCTGCTCTGGGAACATGAACCCACATTACATGGTGCTCTGGTGATTAGTGGGGCTGGATAAAGAGAGGTAGAGCACTCAGAGAGGTGGAAATTCCAACTGCTTGTGGAGAGCAGGAATTATCTACCAGACCCCTGGAACAAATGTAAAACAAGTTTGAAACACTTCCAGCAGCAAGAGGGGTGCCAGATGGGCAAGGGTTACACAATGTGCTCTACACAGGAGCAGCTAGGGAGCTGCCTATGGGAGCCAGCCCCAGGAGCATCTTCCTCCTGGCAAGCACAGGTTCCGCTTGCCTGCAACCTCTACCATTGCTGCAGGCTGGGCAGAGGAAGGCTCCTCCCTGCGTGTGTGGCTCACTTGACCCGGCAGTGGGAGCAGGCATTGCAGCTAGGAAGGCAGAGGGAGACCATTCCAGCTTTCTTGGCCTTGTTTTGGCCCAGCTGGGGAAGTACTGTGGGAGCTCCCATCATTGCTGAAGGCTTGGCAGAGGGCAACTCTGTGCACAGCAACTTCAGCAGTGCAGCCCCAAGTATTTTTCCTGCTCATGCAATCAGCTGACAGTGCACACAGCCCACCAAGATCACCTGAAATCAGATCACTACAAGCCAGACAGAAAGGTGCCCTGCTCACTGCAAGCCAACAACAGGGGCTCCCACACAGGAAATTAAGCTTCTGGGCACTAGAGGGTGCCTCCTACATAAAGCTGTTATTCCATAGGAAACAATAAACAAACAAAAAAATAAATGAAGAGGTAGAGGAATTTGGTCCAAACAAAACTACAAGACAAAACACCAGAAAGAGGGCTGAGTAAAACTGAAATCACCAAATTTTCAGATAAATACTTCAAAGTAAAAGTTATAAACCTGCTTTATGGGTCTAAAGAAAAATATTCAAGATCTCAGGGAGGAACTCAACAAAAAGTAGATGAGCACCAAAGAGTCACTCAGAGCTAAAGAATACAGTATCTGAAATGAAAAAAACAATGGAGGAATTTAGACTTTCACAGGTTGAAGAACTTAGGGAGCAAGAAAATAATCAAGCCAAAAAACAAAGAGAAAAGGATCTCTAGAAATGAAAGAATAGTAAGAGAGCTGCATGACCAATCCAAACAGAACAATATTCACATAATGGGGTACCAGAAGAAGAAGATATAGACAAAGAGATATAAAGTCTCTTTGAGGAAATAATTGTTGAAAACTTTCCCAAACCAGGGAAGGAAATACACACTCAGGTCATGGAAGTGCAGAGAGCTCCTAACCCTAGGAGAGCAGAGGCTTAAAGGTAACAGTGTGAGCAGTGAGACAGAAACCTCCTCCCCAAACCACATATAATATGAAAATATAACAAATACGACTAATCCTGAAAGAACAACAGGAAAGAAGGCTGCAACAGACTGCCTACATCTGGGGAAAAGAGAAGACCTCATGGAAAAGGGTAAAGTAGCAAAGCCATGATCTGGTAGAACCTAGGCCCTCCCCCAAGCCCAGCTCACCAGTGGGAGGAAAAGAAATGGAATGGGGAGGTGGTGGAGGCCTAGGACTGCTGAACACCCAGCCCTGGAGATGTGTTCTGGGAAAATAAACCTACATTATGTGGTGCTCTGGAAATCAGTGGGGTTGGAAAGCAAAGAGAGGCATAACACTTGGAGAAACTGAGATTCCAGCTGCTTATGAAGAACAGATACCCACAACCAGCTGCTCTGGGACAAAAGGAAGGTGGGCACTCTGAGAGACTTCCAACACTGAGAGGGATGCTAAAGGGGCAAGGATAGCACAGAGCTTGCTGCTCAGGAGAAAGGACAGATGGACAAAATCATCTGGGCACAATCAGCCCAGCAGATTGGGAACTTTCAGTAGCATCAGGTGCTCCTTCCCCCTGTTTGGCAATGCAGCCCTGAGGCCCCCCAGTGCAATATGCAGCCTGCCACTCCTAACACCCAGCTGGCACTGGCTTGCAAACCTGCTGCCCCCGCCATTGTGCCAGGCCAGCCAGAGGGCGGCCCCACCTATAGCAGCTACAGGGGCATAGCACAGAGGCTCCTGCCTGCATGCTCAGCCCACTGGCCCAGCAGTGGAGGCAGGCACTGCAGCTGGGAAGCAGGAAACAGCTCTTTCCTACTGGCAGGCAGGAAACAGCTCTTTCCTACTGGCAGGCACCAGCGCCGCTCACCAGTGACCTCCAACATTGATGCAGGTGCTAAGCAGCTCCAGAAAGTAGAGCTTCTGGGCACTAGACAGTGATGCCTACACAAAGTTATAATTCCATATGATTCATTACAAATATGAAACATCAAAAGAACCTCATATACACCAAAATCCCAAATACCAGAAAGAGGGCCAAGTGAAACTGAAATCACCATTCTTCCCGATAAAGATTTCAAAATAAAAATCATAAACATACTCATGGAGCTATAGAAAAATATTCAAGACCTCAGGGAGGACTTCAAGAAATAGACAGAAATTTTGAAAAATACAGTGTCCAAAATGAAACATACAATGGAGGAATTTAAAAGCAGATTAGAAGAAGTAGAGGAGAAAGTAAATGAAACAGAAATTAGAAAACAGGAATATGAAGAAGCTGAGGCACAGAAAAAAAAAAGGGTCTCTACAAATGAAATAATATGGAGAGAATTGTGTGCCCAATCAAAACAGAACAATATTCCCATAATAGGGGTTACCGGAAGAAGAAGAGAAAAAAAGGAACTGAAAATGTCTTTGAGGAAATAATTGCTGAAAACTTCCCCAATCTGGTAAAGAAAACAGTCTCTCAAGCCATGAAAGTGCACAGATCTCCAAACACAAGGGACCCAAGGAGGACAACACCAAGTCATATAATAATTAAAATGGTAAAGATCTAGGATAAGGGCAGACTATTAAAAGCAGCCAGAGTGATAGAGAAAAGATCACATACAAAGGAAAGCCCATCAAACTATCATCAGACTTCTCATCAGAAACCATACAGGCCAGAAGGGAGTGGCTTGATATATTTAACATAATTAAACAGAAGGACCTCTAACCAAGAATACTCTACCCAACAAGATTAACATTTAAATTTGAAGGGGGGATTAAACAATTTCCAGATAAGCAACAGTTGAGAGGATTTTACTCTCCCACAAACCATCTCTACAATGTATTTTACAAGGACTGCTATAGATGGAAGTGTTCCTAAAGCTAAATAGCTGTCACCAGATAAACTAAAACCACAGTAAAGGAAGTAGACCAATTAATTACTAAGCAAATGCAAAATTAAATCAGTTACTCACAAAGTCAGTCAAGAGATACACAAAGGGTACAGAATATTATACCAAATATACAAAGAATGGAGGAGAAAGAAAAAGGTAGAAAAAAGAAAACCTTTAGATTGTGTTTGATACAATGTACTAAGTGAGTTGTCAGACTGTCAGATAATAAAGAAGCCACCCTTTAACCTTTGGTAGCCACAAATCTAAAGCCAATGGCAATAAGTACACATTTATCAATAATCACCCTAAATGTAAATGGATTGAATGCACCAATCAAGACATAGAGTTACCGAATGGATAAAAAAACAGGACCCATCTATATGCTGCCTGCAAGAGATTCACTTCAAACCCAAAGACATACACACTCTAAAAGTGAAGGGATAAAAACAGATATTTCATGAAAATAAAAGGAAGAAAAAAAGCAGGGGTTGCAATGCTAGTATTGGACAAAAAAAGACTTCAAAACAAAGAAAGTCACAAGAGACAAAGAAGGACATTACATAATGATAAAGGGGTGAGTCCAACAAGACAATATAACCATTATAAATATTTATGCACCCAACATGGCAGATTCTACATATGTGAAACAAATACTAACAGAATTAAAAGGGGAAAAAGCATGCAATGCATTCATTCTAGGAGACTTCAACACTCCACTAACTCCAAAGGACAGATCAACCAGACAGAAAATAAGTAAGGAGACAGAGGCACTCAAAAACATATTAGAACCAATGGACCTAACAGACATCTACAGAAAGCTACACCCAAAAGCAGCAGAATACACATTCTTCTCAAGCTCACCAAAGAGTCACTCAGAGCTAAAGAATACAGTATCTGAAATGAAAAAAACAATGGAGGAATTTAGACTTTCACAGGTTGAAGAACTTAGGGAGCAAGAAAATAATCAAGCCAAAAAACAAAGAGAAAAGGATCTCTAGAAATGAAAGAATAGTAAGAGAGCTGCATGACCAATCCAAACAGAACAATATTCACATAATGGGGTACCAGAAGAAGAAGATATAGACAAAGAGATATAAAGTCTCTTTGAGGAAATAATTGTTGAAAACTTTCCCAAACCAGGGAAGGAAATACACACTCAGGTCATGGAAGTGCAGAGAGCTCCTAACCCTAGGAGAGCAGAGGCTTAAAGGTAACAGTGTGAGCAGTGAGACAGAAACCTCCTCCCCAAACCACATATAATATGAAAATATAACAAATACAACTAATCCTGAAAGAACAACAGGAAAGAAGGCTGCAACAGACTGCCTACATCTGGGGAAAAGAGAAGACCTCATGGAAAAGGGTAAA